CTATCCTGCTTTCTGTCCTGTTTCTGGTGATCCTTTTATGGTTTGCTGTCAAGACACTTGGTTCTGTTGTACACAGCACAGAGTTGTACAGTGTTCCACAAAAGGTGCTAGTGTTTCAACATTCTTCTTAACATGTACCGAAAGATCACACACTGCAGGAGCATCTTTTATTTTGACTGGGTTGTTTATGTTTAGTTTGTAATTTTTCAAAAAATTCTCATCCAGAGATGATCTAGCACTAAACTAGTATGTGAGTACTAGTGATAAGGTAATCTAACACTAATCTCATACATGCAAAAAATAAAATAAAAATTGGAGGATGATCAGGGAGGAAAGAACATGGGGCAAGTGTTCCTGCAGTCCTGAATGTCACATCCCAAACTGCCTAGATCACAACGCCGCCCGCAGACACGTTCTTTACAAGAATGAGCCAGTGGTAAAGTAGGATATGGGGCTGACCTACAATTGATGCTCACAGAGGATAAGGATTTAATTTAAGGTCTCTTGCCCCCGCTTTCATTTGTAACATCATTGCAAACAGCATCCCCAGAAACAGAAAATTAGAACCGGAAATCAGAACAACAACTCAAAAAGAAAAATGAGGAAGAAAAAGACATAAGAAATAGGGGGAAAGACCAACAAGATGCAGGGAAAGAGTAATCTGGATATAGCTCAAGAACCGAGCAAACTCCAAAGAAAGGAAATTCACAAACGAGTGAAGCAAAAACCAAAGCAAGATTACAAATAAGTTAAGCAGGCAACGTGGCATGAAGTGCAAAGAGGAAAGGAGAAGGGGAAGACGTGTCTTTTTTGACACGGAGACAAAAGGAACATTTATTTACATAAATAAAAAAAGAAAGTAAAAATAAAATGAAAATAAAAATGGGCAATTCAGAAATAGGTGATGAGATCCCCATCACAGGTCATAGCAGGCAAAGGGACTATCACTTACTTTGTCTTTGTCCTGGAGGGCCAGTTTGAGCATAAAAAGCAAAATAAGGAAAAGAAAAAACAAGAAACAAGAAAAAATGTGACAACTTTTTTTAAAATAAAAAAAAAATTTCCATATTTTACTTTGCATCATCAGGTAAAAGTTATGTACCTAGTATGGCCATGAACATATACCAAATATTTAAAAAAAAATACTGCTAAGATGACTATAACTGAAATGGGATTTCTTCAAAATGAAAAGTAAAAATAAAGAAATAAATAAAAATAAAACAAAATAAAACGGTATTGCCAAGTAGATTCTTGAGAAAAACTACTCACCAGTAGCACCAACGTTTGTTTGTTTTCCCAGCCCTTACGTAGGAACTAGTTAGTGCAAATATATACGTATACATACATATACACCAAGCCACAAGAAGGCACTATACTGTATATCACGTCTGATTTTGGAAGCTAAACAGAGCCAGGCCCACTTAACGCTTGGGCGTGAGACTAGCAATGATTTCTGGATAGGGGTAGGAAAGAATCCTAGGTAAAACTCTGGGGAGCGATTGCTGCCAGTTAGAGTTGGCAATTCTGAGTTAGATGGACTTAAAAGTAGAAGGTAGCTTTCTATGTTCCTTTCCCAAATAACATTCTGTCACTCAAACAAGAGCTGTCATAAAGCACAATAAGGGGTGGGGAGTAAATGCAGGGGTGTGCTCATTAAAATAATAACAGAGAAAGGGAATCTTAAAATACATATCTTAAAAAGCATAATTTGGGATCCTAAACTGGGACAATTGTACTCTCTCCCCAAGAGATGGTGCTGTTGCTACTAGGCTAATTCATAACAGACACCAACGAACAAATGTTGAATGTGAATTTCGTTTCAGACTGGTTTTGGACACCATTTATTAAGAACATGCAAGTTTTTCATATTTGGGACAGAAAGAATTTGAAATGAGGGGGGGGGAATGCATGTGGGAGAAACTGAACCTGACACGATTTGTTCATCCAGGTCTAAGGCTATGAGGGACGAGCTGTGAAAAGTCTAGCTTCGTATCACTGTGTAGTTGGACCCTCTCGGTACTAAATTAGGGTTGCCACTTCTTTTTTGCTGCCAGGCTCCTTACCAGCTACCTGGCAGGAAGGAAAAGCACAGGGTTCTCTCCCATCTTGGAACAGCTGTTCTCTGCTGAACTCAGCCAATGGAGATAGAGGAAGAATTTCTTTTCATTTTGGGTTCCGCAAGAATTTGTCAAAATGGAAAAGGCAGGCTCATATTTGAGATAGAAAGTATTTGAGAATTTAAAGGGTGGATGCAGAGGAATGCAAACATGTCTAATTTTGCAAAGGGTTCCTAAAATAAGAATGGGATCAAAAGGGAGACCATGGGGGAGGCATTCACTTCCACCCTTTTTTTAAAAACAAATTCACCAAAATCCAGACATCCACAACATTGTTAATATTTGGGATGGAAAGAACTTCATCCCTAACCCAAATGGGAAAAGTGACAGGAACAAACATGGCTATCTTCGGCTACTTTAGTCTGACCCTTTCCCTTTCCATTCCCTGTTACATTTCTGCTACTATCCATGAGCCAACTCACCCCAACGCGCTCCGGGTAAACGCCTGCACGCAAGAAAGAGGCCTTCCAACTGTCCACCTCCTCCTGGGTCTCACATGCCAGCTCCAGTTGACGGTAATCTTTGTAAACGTTCCTGAGGAGAAAGTAATATTGGAAAGGCGAGAAATATATCAGCTTTCCTATCTGCCTGTTTCAGCAGAGAATCAGAGATATTTTTTTTACTCTAGACTAATGGTATTATGGAGAAGGAAGACAGTACTGAATATAACAGTCTCTTTTTCTGCATCTTGTTGTAGGGGGAGAGTTTTGATGTAATCTTTGTAAACGTTCCTGAGGAGAAAGGAATATTGGAGAGGCGAGAAATATTATATCAGCTTTCCTATCTGCCTCTGCCTGTTTCAGCAGAGAATCAGAGATATTTTTTTTACTCTAGACTAATGGTATTATGGAGAAGGAAGACAGTACTGAATATAACAGTCTCTTTTTCTGCATCTTGTTGTAGGGGGAGAGTTTTGATGACATTTCACATTTTCTCTCCAACCTACATTTGAACCTATAAGCAAGTTCAAACATATTTATAAGGAATCTGGCCTTTCTCACCAGATTACGTACTCCTAAACGTGTTCAAAACCATGCATAAGCTCAAACATAGGTTGCAGGGGGAAACATGACATGTCATAGACCTCCTCCCCCAGTTATGAGTATGGTCCGGATATCTAAGTGAGACTTGGTGTATTATCTCCATAGTTCAATTGCTAATTTTTGGGGAGACCAATGAAGAAGTACCAAACTGTTCAACGAGACCAGTCCAGCCTCAAGGTTGGGCTGGACGTTTTACGGTTTTACTCTCTCCTTCTCCGGCTCTCGGGGGTGGGGTGGGGTGGCGAGGAGTAAAAATCATAGGGAAGAGGTCCACAGTAAGTGGCTGTCCAGTTATGAGTATGGTCCGGATATCTAAGTGAGACTTGGTGTATTATCTCCATAGTTCAATTGCTAATTTTTGGGGAGACCAATGAAGAAGTACCAAACTGTTCAACGAGACCAGTCCAGCCTCAAGGTTGGGCTGGACGTTTTACGGTTTTACTCTTTCCTTCTCAGGCTCTCAGGGGTGGGGGCGAGGAGTAAAAATCATAGGGAAGAGGTCCACAGTCAGACAAGTGGCTGTGGACACATTTGCTATTTCTCTTCCTCCTCTTTGATCTCATAAGTCCACAACAGGATCCACACCTGAGGCACAAGGAGTGGTATCAGGGGAACACACGCACACATACCAAAGTTAAGGGAAACTGCTTTTGCCTTCCCTATAAACCCTTTTTTTTCTCTCTCTCTTTCTGCCTCCATTTTCCTCCAACGAATACATCACTCTGTCACCCTGTCCCCATTAGCCGAAGGCCTTCTGTTCTCTGCCTTCACTGCCTCAACCCTTGTCATCCCCTGCCCTGACTGTTCTAACTCTTGTCCTCCTCTGCTCTTTACCATGCTAACCCCAAGCTGTCCTGTCTCACCCTTCCTGCCACTTCCAACCCCCCCAGATGTTGCCACTAGAAAGTTATAGAGAAAGGGCCGCACCTCTGTTCAGTGTTGAAGAGGGCAAAGATGTATTTGCTTGACATGAAGCCTTTCTCAACATCCCGCACCTTCAAGTTGTCCACTGGCAACATGTATTTCTTCTCCTTCTCCTGAAAGGGGGGGAGGGGAAACCCACAATCAACCATCAATCCATCCCATTGCCCTTGAAATACCGGTGATACAGTGCCCTCCTGATGTTGGAGATGACCTCTCCTTCAGATCAACAACTGGCCATGTAGGCTGGCTAGTCCAAAACCTAACTATACATGAGATCAATATCCACTGATTCACTTATTTGCTGCCTGAAAATACTAAAGTAAAAAAAAACATATACTTACCAGAACTAGCCATTATAGAAAGAGCCAGAGACCATTGCTGCCTGAAAATACTAAAGTAAAAAAAATATACACATATATTTACCAGAACTAGCCATTATAGAAGGAGCCAGAGACCATTCAATGTATAGCATTCAATAGTACTGCATTTTTTCAGCCTCTGAAGGGGCAGGGCTTAGAATCAATCGCTTGAGGATACCATGGCCCTACATTTTAACCCATCACTTTCAAGTTATGTTTTCAAAATGCAATGTTAGTGAAAATATGTGTGTGTTGTTATTAATCTTAACCATGAATCTAAAGCTTCTTAACATAGGAGATGTTTCTTTACTTCTTTTTAATATAACAATGTTTGACCTCTACATCGAGGTCGAACATTATTATATTAAAAAGGTTGTTTTTTTAAAAAAAACTTGTTTAAAAACACAGTAAATTATTATTTTAAAAGTTAATTCAGTATATTATCATATTAAAACAAGTGCTGAATTAGAGCATTTATTTCAATTTAAAAACATGGGAAGCATAGTAAAAAAAAATAAAAATAGAAAGTATGGCATCTATAAGAAGTCTTTTCTAAAGAGCTAACCTAACTGAAAGCCTATCTGAAGAGAAAAAAAAATCTTTGCCTGCCAGTAGAAGGAAGACAGGGATTTGGGTCAATCTAGCCTCCCTTGGAAGGGTGATCCAAAGGCAAGAAAAATAGCAGAAAAATCATCCCATCATTCTGGAGTGCTGACAGAAAGTGCAATCAATCAAGAACTAACCAGCCAAAAGATACTGCACAAATATTCATGTTTAGCAGATTTTCTGGGCTATAAAAACAGATGGAAGAAGCTGTAGGACACGGGTGTAGAAAACCCTGTAGTCCAAAATTATGGAAATGAAGCGTGCTCACCGCATGAGAAAAGCCTCCTGTGGAAGGGTCCCTAGTTGTTGTTGTTGTTTTAAATTGTAGCTGAATGCCAGTCAAAATCCTTGTGCTGTCTCTATTGGGACAGCAATAGGACAGGCTGCAGCCAGGTAGAAGATTATGGACTCGTCCTTCTGTAAACTGAATGCAGATCCAGACAGATATGGATGTACGCCAAGTGATCTAGAGGAGACCCCGTGACACCAAGGAGAGGTACCAAAAATGTGTCCTGCAAGCACATACCAAGTGATCTAGAGGAGACCCCGTGACACTAAGGAGAGGGGTAAAAACTCCTGTTTGTACCAAAAATGTGTCTTGTAAGCAAATGGTGGCCGTCTGGTATGTACGTCATGCCAGCATTGGCTGGAAAAAAATGAAGAAATACAATCCCTCACAAGAGGGAAGGAAAGAGAATGGAAAAAGCAGGCAGACAGTCCTCTAATCCCAGATCTTCACTAAAAAAAAACACACACACACACAATGGCAAAGGGATGTGTGTCCTAAATGTAGCAGAAGTTGATCTATTATGTCTAGTCAGGTTATTGGGCAAGCGAGTCCTCTAATCCCAGATCTTCACTAAAAAAACACAACACAATGGCAAAGAGATGGGTGTCCTAAACGTAGCAGAAGTTGATCTATTATGTCTAGCCAGGTTATTGGGCAAGCGAATGCAGGACCATTTCTTCTGTGATTTTACAAAGCGTAGCTCACATCACAACCACAGGAGATAAAAGGAAGTGAATGGACACTAGCTGAGTAACCTTTAATGCCATGAAAGCCTTCCAATGGATCGATTTGTCTGCCCCCGTGACCTGCCATCCCAGGTTTATCAGCTTTGTGGCACCTCTGTTGCTCCAGTGGGTTCTGGTACTCCAGTTTCCTTGTAATCCTGACATGTGCAAACTGATCTCCTAGGGAAGCATGGCAGCGCTGAGAAGATAGAAAGGCAGCCACTGGTGCCGCTGAGGAAGCTGAGGAGACGAAAGCAATGGAAGCAGAATGCTGGATATTACCCTGCCTTCTGCATCCACCCTCAGCCTTCCCTGGTACCCCGCAAAATGTGGACAGAAAAGCACAGCTTCTCATAGCGCCATTTAAATGGTCAGGAGTAAAGCTACAATTCTTGCATGCATGTCCAGGTTATAGGCAGAATGCAGACTGCGAGGTGGGAGACCCAGGTAGGATCACATCCCCACTCACCCATGAAACTTCCTGGGGGGCGGCAGTCCTGCTCTAACTTCTCTAAACCTCCCTCTCTGATCTACTTCATAAGGTTGTTCTAAAATGAAGTACAGAAGAAAAGAACTGCCTATGGCAAAACAGTTTTAAAGACTACAATCTTATGGGAAACAATAAGCACTTAAGAAAGGAAGGAAGGAAGGAAGGAATTTAGTGATAGATCTCTGGCGGATGCACACATAAATTTTCTGCCCACCCTTAACAGAATGTGTATCACAACCCTTCCTCTCATAATTTACCCATAGAGGGTGCAAAAGTGGAGGGGGACTAAACCTTCCCGTTCCGTGTTTCATTGGTATAAATGACTTTAAAAAGCAAAATTTTTAAAAAAGGAAGAGTGGTCTTTTTGGCTATTAGCCCTGAGAGCTAAACAAGGTCTTGCCAAGGTTGTTGTTGTTGTTGTTGTTGTTGTTGTTGTTGTTTTAACGCTACCTATGAAGAACATGGTAGAACTAAATATAGTAACAAGAACTGTCTGAAACCAAATAGATTATTAACTTCTGAGGCTCCAATTTGCTGGGTGGGGCGGTAACCTCTGCAACTTGGTTGCTGGATGATTCAGAACCCAGCTGAGGTGCTGCAAACTCATTCCACAAACTAAACAGCTTCCAGATGGCTGCAGCTTTACTGGTCTTTCAGTTCTCTATGATATTATTTTATTTTACTTAATTTTACAAGCCACCTCAAGAGCTAAAAGAAGCAGAGTCTGAAGCCCAGGAGAGAGAGAGAACTGCTTGTCTCAACTTGGGTTTCCTTTAACACTCCGAATCCTAAAATATTTTTTTTTCTGAATTATATCCCAAGGACAGAGCTTGCTTCCTCATTAAGTGAGTTTGAAATCTTTGGCTTAATGGAATGTCAGACCCATTCAAGAGCCCCTCGGTAACAGGGGAGCTAAACGAGAGCACGTCTAGAGAAAACATGTATAATGAATATGAGAGATTTAAACAGATCTTTCTTCTGCCCAAAATCTAAGCTTTCTCCATTTCAGGAGTGGTGTGCAATGCTGCTGGCAGAAGATGAAATAAAGCATTGTAAATAAGCTCCCAAACTTAGCAGCCTGGCTAGTCTGTTGGGATCTAGCAGAGAAGGGACAAAGCTTCATTTTTTATGTCAGCAGGAACACAGCCTTTCAACATTTAATTACAATGCAAGCTGTCTTGAATGTTTCCACTTAAACTACTAGGATGAAGAAAGAACCTCATCAAGGAAAAGGAAAGTATCCACCCACTGCTTAATTATCTTCCTCATTCTTTGACTTCCTATATTTTGACCTGTCACAAACTTGAGCCCCTTGTTATCACTTCTTTACTTGCCACGACGTGGTGGTTGAGCCGGCTCCGTCAACTATCCCCCCCCAACACTCTGGCAGATGATGTCATTGCTCCTGCTCTGGAGAGAAATATGTACTGTATTTCCATGAGCTGTGTCTCCCTTGGTGACACCGACACTAGCATTTAAAACTGACAGCTGCTTAAACATTTTGCTACGATAGAAAGAGGAATAATAAAATCTGAAGGTTGAAGCCTCTTAGTCAAGCTCTTTTGTTTTCCTCAAGGAAAGCAAGAGGCTGAGAAGAGAGTGCCTGAAGCTGGATGTGGGGAAGAAGGCACCTCTTTCAGCCAAGAGCCATAACCTTATTACCCTGCATGGAGGGTGGCAGGGAGAACCTTTGTTCTGGTTCCCCCTGTCAAACACTTCCCAGTTGCTTTCTCATGCCTGCCAGGAGCCATAATTCTGGGAAGGGCTTGGATTTTAGCCGGCAACTCCATTCAGCGTTTCACAGGCATGGAAGTGGGTGGTCCCTCTGCAATCCACAACGTTCATTCGAAACAGGTCAGATTACTAGTCATCATTATTTCTGAATTTCCCAAAATACAACAGGGCTCTGCTAATTTTTTTGTTTGGTTTTAAATCTTCACAAAAACAGCAGCTGCGTTCTAGGTTTAGGCGCCTGCAATTCGGCCAAGGGAAACTTTCCCAGTTGCATCCTGTGCACGAGACGTCCACCCTCTGCCTCAAAATTGCTACAGAGAGAGTCAAGATGCCCTGTTGAATGGATCAAGCTGCAAGGGGCCGGCAGAGAACCGAGGGGTTCTCCAAAAGCTGGCCACAGCATCTTCTCTGAGCAAAGTCCCTCTGACCACAGAAGGCAGATATCATGGATCTGATGAACATTAGGTCAGTTGAGCACTATCACCCAGTGAATGTCATGGCCGATTTTGAACTCAAGGAGAGGTGGCTGATTCAGGATGGAACGGAGAAGCAATACTTTTTTTTTTCCCAAATTGTGTCCCTAATGGGTCCCAAAAGCACCCGCACCTCTGTCAAGAAAATGAGATGGTGACAGATGATGACAAACACAGGGAGGAAAAACTTGGGGCCACCAGCTATCTTTGACTTAAGACTCCCCGCACCCTTATCGCAAGCCCTCTGAGATGAGGTGGATAGGAACGGGAAGTCCAAAACATCTGTAGGATCAGAGGCCTCTAAAGATAAACCAAATGATCTATATTGTAATGTCTTTATAGAACTCCTTCATGTGTACATAGTGGGAGTACTGTATACAGTTCTAATCCCTACATCTCGAAAAGGATATTGTAAGGCTAGAAATATTGTACACAAG